TGATTTGTCAATTTTGGCGTGACTACAACATCCTGGAGTGCATTAATAACACTGGTGAGTCCTGGGCTGAAGTTACTCAGGCATACATGAATGGTATGTGGGGGAAGTTGTGGCCTGAATGTGTCAATGACTTAAAAGGACTTAAATATGTTGTCCCCGCTATAAAGAAAGATATCCTCGGCTCGGCCAAGAAAGCAGGTTTTGATGAGGTGGAAGAAGCCGATGTTACACAACTTCTGCAATCACACAGAAAAGAGCTAACAAATGAAGATCTGATGCAACTAGAGGTGACAAAACCAATGGAAGAAGAGGGCCAAGAAGTAGAACCACCACCAACCCATCAAAATTTGACTGCCAAACATCTTTCTGAAGCTTTCCAAATGATTGAAGCTGGCTTGCAAATCCTGAGTGATGACGATCCTGACAGAGAACTCAGATCCAAAGTGATCAGGGGAGTTGGTCATCTAATGACTTGTTATAAAGAAATTTACCAAGAAAAAAAAGGAAAGCAAAACAACAATCTCTAGATGTGTTTTTAAGAGTTCAGAAAGTTCAGCAAGAGGAGCAGCCAGACAATACACCCTCTTCCGCTCTCTGACTCCACCACCTCAACCAAGCTTCATACTCTGCAACGATGATTGTACTATTAAATTGCTTGTTTAAAATGGTTTAAAATGTATATAATGCCTTTTGTCTGGCAAAAAAAAATCTGGAACCTAACCATAATTCTTATGGGGAAATTGGATTCGCTTAACATTGCTTCACTTAAAGTCGCATTTTTCAGGAACATAACTACAACGTTAAGTGAGGAGTTACTGTAGATAGATTTAAACATCTCTAAGGATGTTCTGTATAATCTAAATATTTTTTTAAAAGCCCTATATTTAAGAGTATGGGACTAACAGCAATGGCGTGGGCCAGACAGTGCAGAAAAATGCTGTGTGGGGAAACTGGTACAATTTTGATAATCACCTCAATCATGACCTGCAATGACCCTATTATTACTCTAAGGTGCCACAAGTCCTCCTGTTCTTTCTATTATTACTGTCTCTATTTAATAGAGACTGCCAACCATCCAAAGGTTTTTAATATGGAATAGGCTAATACTAACTGCATGTTCACTTGTGACCCAAGTTATCAATAGTTCATTTTTGGGGCCAAGGTATTAACCTCATCACTGGAATCATAGCATTGAAAAGCTAGTTCCCAGTCTTCCCCAGTTCACATGGGCACAGGGCAATAAAATTTGATGATCTTCCTCCCCCAACTTTCCTTTTGCTCCCAGTTGCTCACCCTCATCCTGAGTCCCTTAACCTTCCTCCAACTCCTAGCTTGGGGGATTGACCCCACCCTCCCAATTCTCACTCCTAGTAGGGTCCTACTGTTTCCAACCCCCTGAGCTCATTTGATCCACCACCTCTCTTTGCTCATGCCCCCTAACTAAATAATAAAATATTGATGGAAAATAAAATCATAAAGTTTTAAACTAAGCAGAATTTGAACTTTCATCCCAGCCTACATGGTCTCTCCTGCACTCTAACCAGCAACACCAAAAGGTTTGCTGGTTGTCTACCCTATGGCTCAAATTGAAGCAGATAAGACTAGATAGGTGACTTGATACCTCTCTCCCACAAGGCTGTCATCTTGTTCTCCAGAATCTCACTTTATTTAAAGAAAAAGATATTGCTAGCCCTTATGGTACTGAAGAAAACCTTCAAAATGTAAACCAAGCACAAACCACACAGTGACATCTGCCTAATTCCACACACAATTCAAAAGTATAGCTCAAAGGTGTTACCACCTTTTTTTTTTTTTAAAAAGGGTGTTAAATCAGATGCCCAATGATGATCATTTAAAGGTCTACATCAGGGATGGGCAAACTATGGCCCGCAGGCCACATCCGGCCCGGCCCCAGAGCTCCTGGCCCAGGAGGCTCGTCCCCAGCCCCTCCCCTGCTCTCTCCCCTCCCCCACAGCCTCAACTCGCTCGCTCCGCCGCCAGTGCAATGCTCTGGGCGGCGGGGCTGTGAGCTCCTGGGGCAGCGCACTCCTGGGGCAACGCACAATGTGCTGTGTGGTTGCGGCGTTGGCAGCGTGGCCCGGTTCTAGCCAGGCGGCGCGGCTGTAGCACCACCAGCCACCGGTGCTCCAAGCAGCGCGGTAAAGGGGCAGGGAGCAGGGGAGGTTGGCTAGACGGCAGGGGATTTCAGGATCGTGGTCGGGGCGGGGGTGTGGATAGGGGGTGGGGTGGTCAGGGGGAAACAAGGGGTTGAATGGGGGCAGGGGTTCCGGGGGGGCAGTCAGGAAGGAGGGGGGGTTGGATGGGGCATGGGTCCCGGGGGGGGAGGGGCCATCAGGAATGAGAGGAGGGGTTGGATGGAGCAGCGGGAGTCCGGGGGCAGTCAGGGGACAGGGAGCGGGGGTGTGTGGATGGGGCAGGGGTCCCAGAGGGGCCGTCAGGGAATGGGGGGGGAGGGGCGGGTTGGAATGGTGCAGGAGTCCGGGGGAGGGGCAGATAGGAGGTGGAGGCCTGGCCACGACCCCCTCCCCTAACCGGCCCTCCATACAATTTACGAAACCCAATGTGGCCCTCAGGCCAAAAAGTTTGCCCGCCCCTGATCTACAAGGTAAACAATTCCACTACTGATCAAAGCATGTAAGAGCAGGGACTAATGAGTCCCACCAAGGGAACCCAATCCTGCAGAGCTGAGTGGGGCATTTGAGCCCCTGCCATGACCAGGCCAGCCCACTTCCTCAGGGTAACGAGTATCTAGACTGCTCTGGTAATGAGCAGGGGTCCAAGAAGCACTCTCCTAGTGGCTGCTGCTTTTCCTCACACTGCTGGAGGCTGTCTGCAGATCCAGGCAAATACTACTGTATCCAGGGCTTTGGAGCGGAGCCCAGAGCTGGAGCGCGGAGCAGTTCCGGAGCAGTGGAGCTGTAGGTTTTTGCCTGGAGCTGGAGCGGAGCCGGAGCACAGCTCCAAAGCCCTGACTGTATCAGTTAACAGGTTACATTTTAAATGCTTTTCTCTACAATGATGAGAAAGGGGGGTGGTATGGTTTTAAATAAAAGCTTAGATTCTGACATCACACAACTCTGGAAACCAGGGTCCAAGGCATGTAACTATTGTGCCTATACATTATTTGCCCTTGCCCCTTGGTACAGCGTTCCCTCTAATTTTTTATGTCCATGTGTAGAATGAATTTTGTTATGTGCACCATTATGAAGGTGATGTGTGACACATTACTTTCATATTGGTGCACATAACAAAATTCATGTGGTGGAGGTGGGACCAAGAAGTTCAGGGTGCGGGACGGGGCTCAGGGCTGGGGCAGAGCATGGGTGCAGGAGATGAGGGCTCTGGCTAGGGATGAGGGGTTCAGGGTGTGAGAGGGGGCTCAGGGCTGGGGCAGAGGATTGAGGTGCAGGTGCATGCAGGCTCTGGGGTGGGGCCAGGGATGAGAGGTTTGGGGTGCAGGCTGCCCTGGGGCTGCAGTGGGAGAGAGGACTCCCCCCAGCCTTCTCTCGCTGCAGCAGCTCAGGGCCGGCAGGGAGGAGCATGGGGCTTAATAGGCAGCTGCGAAGCTTAGAGGAATTTAGCCTTGGTATATCCAAACCTCAGAAGCCTAGAAGAACACGTGTGATGATATTCTGAACCTCTGCAAAATCTACTGCAAGTGACAACTCATTCCAGTTTCCCAAGTAGGCTGAATTTGGATCGTTGGTGGAGCTTGGAGAGTGCCATCATTATACCTACCCCCCCCCCCCCAACCTATCAATATGAGCCTTAGTTTACTTCTTCCAATAAGACTTATGACAGGGAGGGACTTACAGCACAATAAACTATATCACTGCTATCATGGTCACTCAACGCTAGCAGTAAAAGTAACCTAGTAGCACAATGCCGCTTTGAGTATCAGCCCAAGTCTCTATTTATGTAGAAGTATGTTTTGTACTCGATCATCATTGAAGCTGCTTGTCAGCAGATTTCCTTAGCATAAAAACACTCCATTCTAAGATCTGTCCATTCACTTTTGGTGATGCTCGTATAAAAAGAAATAAGTAATTTAGGATTACTAGTTGTTTTTCAGGGTGTTTCATTGTAAAATATATTCTAAAGAAATTCAGAGTTCAGTTGGAACTTAAACTTTTGTTAATGCTGCTTTGTCTCAGAGGTAACTATTAATTGTCTGGTCTTTGAAGGTGACACTGCTGGATTTTATACATGAGCTACGTTAACACACTGTGCAGTGAATTATGTGATATAGTTGAAAATACTACTTATCCTTTCTCTTAAATTCTGTAAATTTCTCATACTATAGGTGTCTGTCAATTTTTAATGATATTGTTTATCATATGCTCCTTGCAGATTTAGTTCTGCAGTAAAACATCACCTCCCATGTAGCAAAAAGGTGGTTGAACACCCCAACAACAGTTCCTGTATAGAATTAGTTTGCTATCATGGGGCATAGCTTGCTATTTAATTATGGAAATACAGCTTTAATTTGTGCCTATATTCCAGGCAGCAAAAGCCTCAAAGCACAACCCCTTTACACAGGTTACTCAATAGACATAAAAATAATGGCAGAGATGTGGATACACACAAGCTATTGCTTTCCTGAAGACATAAATATGTGCCTACACCATGTGAACCTTAGGCCTGTGCAATGTTCTATGCAATTCCTTCTAGCCTTTCTACAGATTTTAAGGAAATCAGAATTGACGTGGATAATTCCCCAACACTGACTATAGGCTTGCTGGCAAATAAATGAGTGTACTAGAACGTAGCTTCTCATATTTAGCTCAAGTTACTTCATCAGTCTATGATTAGTTATACATTGAAGACAGTTTAATTTACAACTGTTCTGTCACAATCTATCGTTGCAACTATGCATTTTTCATTTTAAAAATTTTTAAGTGAATTGCTTCTCTAAAATGTAATCTTAATATAGGATTTTGTACCGCCCGCAAACAAAAAAAATAGAAGATTTAACCTACTGTACTGACCCTTGGTGGTCCAATAATCATGCCTGTCCACCTTGTAAGTGTCATATCTTCATCATCTTCAAGGCCCCAGCTTACTGTACCATCGCCTACTCCTTTTTGACCTTCTTCAAGTTCTTCCAACAAGCGAAAATTACGAGGGACTTTAACTATTTAAATAAAGTGAAGTAATGTAAATAGCAATGTTCACAAGAAAACATAAGTCAGAGATTATTTAATTTATAGCCTGAATGACATCTTAAACATCACAACTGAATACCATTTCAGTCATAAAAATCCTCATAAAGCACATTTGGAGTATCTTAATACAAAATATTTTTAGGCACCCAGTTTGAGATTAAGAATTATGTTGCAAATCCTACTGTGTTCAAATAATGAAGTATTATATAGTAGCAATATGTCAAATATGTCTAAGGTGCCACAAGTACTCCTGTTCTTTATGTCAAATAAAGTAACCTGCTATCTTAAATGCCCACGGTAAATGTGTTTAAGAAAACAGTAACTTTGGGTCTAAGCATACCACCAGCTACATTCGTAAATCTAAATAGCCATATGTTAATAGATTTCTCCCTGCTGCTTTCAGCTACTGTGCCACAAAGACAATGAAATTCAGATTATGGAATTTTCTGCAGTGCTAACAATAATTTTGTTCTTAAATTGGGAATGTATCAAGTCCCATTGTTCTGGACTGGTGGAGTAGAGAAGTTATACTATGATTATAGCAGCAGTGTTGGGACCACACACATTAGACAGCATGGTAAATGGAGTGCTAGGTGACTCCAGCACCTAACAGATTGCCATTACAATACAATTATAATGCATATATATTTATTTTCTGTAACAACATTCCAATTGTCATAGTGATCTAATTATATGTAACCAAATGCACACACTCCCATCACTGCCACTTTGATTACAAAAGGGCTTGAAAAATGTACGAGATATCTGACTAATATATAAAAGACAAAAGTGGGCCAAAAGCGATGTCCAGAGGTCACACCTTCAGTCTGTCTGCTCTTGCTCATTGGTATCCCAAAAATCAGAATGAGCCTGACATGATCCTTGTCAGTTTCACTACTGCTCAGAGGATTCCTGACCGTTTCAGTGAAGCTGACCAGCATCTTGTCATTGGCCAAATGATAAGCAGCAAGAGAAGCATGGACGCTATCTTTGCAGACTCATGCAGACAAAATTACATCAGTTTAAATTTGCTAAGTTTTCAGAACCATATGGGCTACAAACTTTTAATATATGAAAGAGCTAAATGGGACAGCATTAAAAAAAGCTCACTTTTCTTCACAAATACAGTAACACTTAAAATAAATGTAAGTGAAAGAAATTAGAGAAAACAAAATTCTCTGGGCTAAATCATCAGCTGGTAGAAGTTTGCATAGCTCCACTGAAGTCCATGAACCTACACTGATATACCTGGCCCTCTATCTTTTCAGTTTGTTTATTTTATGCTTTTGACAACACCTTGTAAGTAGATTTCAAGGCCGGAAGGGACCATTTGTGATCATCTAGTCTGGCCTACCTATATAACAGAAAAAAGAAGAACAGGAGTACTTGTGGCACCTTAGAGACTAACAAATTTATTAGAGCATAAGCTTTCGTGGACTACAGCCCACTTCTTCGGATGCATCTACTTATGCTTATTAGAACTTATGCTCTAATAAATGTGTTAGTCTCTAAGGTGCCACAAGTACTCCTGTTCTTCTTTTTGCGGATACAGACTAACACGGCTGCTACTCTGAAACCTATATAACAGAATTTCCCAAAAATAATTTTAAGATCATATCTTTTAGAAAAATATCCAATATAGATTTTAAAATTGCCAGTGATGGAGAATCCCACCATGACACTTGGTAAATTGTTCTAATGATTAATTACTCTCAATGTTCAAAAATTTAAGCCTTCTTTCCAGTCTGGATTTGTCTAGCTTTAATTTCTAGCCATTAATCATGTTATACCTTTCTCTGCTAGGCTGAAGAGCTCATTATTAAATATTTATTCCCCATGTAAGTATTTGCAGACTGGAACCAAGTCACCCCTCAACTTTCTCTTTGTTAAGCTACACAGATTAAGCCTGGAGTCTGTCACTATAAGGCAGGTTTTCTGATCCTTCAGTCATGGCTCTTCTCTGAACCCTCTCCAATTTTTCAACATCCTCCTTGAATTGTGGGCATCAGTGCTGGACATATTATTCCGGCAGTAGTTATACCAATGCAAAGTACACAGGTAAAATAACCGCTCTATTCCTACACAATATTCCTTTGTTTATGCATCCAAGGATTGCACTAGCTCATCTAGACAGCCACTGGGAGCTCATGTTCTGCTGACTACCCACCATTATCTCCAAATCCGCTTCACTGTTGTCCTGTATAGCCAGTATAACTCCTAACCTACAAACACTTAATTACACATGTAAATTTACTCATTTAAGAAATCCCATTGACTTCAGTGGAACTAATCCCATGTGATTAAATTACACACACGCTTAAGTGTTTGCAGGATAATGGAGTAAATTAGAGTTTCCAGTTTTGATCTTTTACATTGCGAACGGGGGGGGGGGGGGGAGCACAAACATTTTAAAATAGGGAAAAGTTATTTTAAAACCAAAATTGGCAGATAATTCTGGGGCAGGTGTAATTCCTGAAACTACATTGAAATTATTCAGTTTTTTAAAAATTGGTCAAAAACAACAATTTAGGTCCTTCACTTGCTTGGAAATGCTTCACAGTTACCAGTGGTGAGTAGATTTTTCAAGCCCTAATTTACAGTAAATAGGTTATGTAGCTTAATGTGTTAATGCAAAAAACTATTCACTTCTTAAAACCAGCATTCAAACTATAGTTTAAGGTCACAATTACCTAAAGTGAAACAGTCATTATCAATATCAAAAAGAAATCACAAATGTTACACATTTTGAATATAGCAGCCTATTAGGAGAAAGAGGTCAGAGCAGAAGTTTATCGACATGAAACAAATTTGAAACTTTATACTATTGTAAATTTTATTATTATTATAAAACTAAATTTCAAATGCTGTTTTTATAGGTCACTGTTGGCAAGTATCTTATCTGAATTTTACAGAATTTCTACAGACAAAAACCAAAATATTGGAAACCAAGACCTGATCCTACAAACATTTAAGCAGGTACTAACTTTACTCATATGAATACATCTAACTGACTTCAATAGGACTACTCATCTGCTTTAAATTAATCATGTACATAAGTGTTTGCAGCATCAGGCATTAACATTGTATTTTTATTAAAAGCTTCTCTTTAGGGCATAAAATCTTTAACACTGAAAGCAATTTTCTTTTGAACTGATAACAATACAAAGTTATTTAGACTTTCAATATATAAACAAAGTTAGTGTTTTTTTTATTTTAAAATAAAAAAAACACAGGCCAAATTTTTAAATAACATTTAGGCATCTCTGGATGGGATTTTCAAAAGTATCCACTAATATGAACTACAAACCTTGATGAGGGACTATAACTTAGTTGAAGCACTGCTAGTTTCTTGACTTGTGAAAGTTCAATATATTAGAAGATGGTGTTGATGCTATTGCTTATCAATTTCGTGTTTGAATTTATCAGTAAATAAGGAGGAGGCGGCGGCCCTGGACTTGTCTTTAGCACAAAGGAGCACTTTAAGTGTGAAATATCTTAGCAGAATTTCAGATGTCACTGAGATTTTTTTTCTAACAATTCAGAAGTAATTAGGTTTGCTAGAAGGAAAGTTGCCTCTTGAGCAGAGCTGTTAACTCCATTACTGACACACTTTCAGCTGCAGTATTCCCCCCCCTTCTCCCTCTTAACAACTATGAGGGAAAATATGAGACCTGAGGCCTAGAGTTCAAGATCTATTAGAAAAATTTCAGCTCAACTCTGGAGGCAGCTTCTTTCTCTAACAAACCTCCTACAGTTCACCAGTAGGAAGTCCCAGTCTGATGGATCTCCACAGGACAGACCAAAAACCTCCTCCTCCTCTCTCCAGCTTGCCTCGGAAGTGGAAAAGTGGACCAGAGAACAACTTTGTTCTGATGAACCTCCTGTGATGCAAAGCAGATATGCCCTCTGACAAACCTCCTGTGGTCTGGCAGAATTCTATTCCGATGAATCAGAGGAAGCTTATGAGAGTACACTTCTTCTCCACTCCCAGACCCAAACCTCACTTATTGCCCCATGCTCCAGCCCCTGAAACCCAACTCCCAACCACATCATCTTCTCCCCAACACAATTAATTTATAAAAAGTGATAGTATGTTACAATGATCCTATATATAATGCTTAAAAGGTGAATGCGGCATGCATATACAGAAGCATGATAGTGATTGTGGGTACATGGAGGTCAGGAGGAACAAGTTGTGGAGTGAACACGAGTACACTAGTGATATGAGACTACAGATATGAAGAGGCATGGGAGACACTGGAGCACTGCAAGGCCGCTAATACGGATCAAGGTTTACAGCTATTCACATTAACATAACAATGCTGATAATTGTATTTAGGTTCTATCTATACTGTATTTTTTGAACCCATGCAAACCCTCAGAGAACGACCATAGAACTGGAATAAGACTAACAATTAACCCACAGCAATATCATTATATTAGGGGTCTGCACCAGTGTATCTACTCTGATGAAGTTAAAAAAGGGAAAACGTTGGGAAATTCTCACACACAAGACTTTCACCTTATCGCTATTAGTAAATGTTCACTGAAGAAACTAAAATAAATCCAGCAACACTGGTGCAAACTTATAACATACAGGCAGCTAAACTGATTTAGATGCATTTAAACTGTACTAAACTATCTTACATTTTAAATGGATATCATTACACAAGTGCAAGCTTTCTAATATAGGTAAGGCCTTTGTTAATTTAGGGCTTGTCTATACTTGACACGCTACAGTGGCAGAGCTGCAAGGCTACAGTTGTGCAGCTTTAGGGCCTCAGTGTAGACACTCACAACACCAATAGGCAGTAGTTCGGTCCACAGAAGAATTCTTCCATAGACCTAGTGCCGTCTACACCGGGGGTTAGGTCAGCCTAACTACTGTATATACTTGATCATAAGCCAGTTCGTTTATAAGCCGACACTCCCTCACCCCCCCATGGATAAGTAAAAATGAAACAAAATT